CCCCCTCCATTTTAAATTTTTTTTTTTTTTTTTTTTTTTTTATGTGGAAGTGTAATTTCCGCTTTGCACCTTGTTGACGGCGCAGGCGGTGTTCGCCCGGCTGGAGCCGCTGCTGGTCTTCACCACGTTGCAGATGTCCTCCCTGGCCGCCAACAGCTCAGCCACGTCCACCGAGGACTGAGGCTTCAGAGAGTGGCGCTTGGGCTGGTAGGCTCTGGCCATGCTGTCCACCTTCACCTGAGCAAACAAGACGCCCTTAGCGACAAAGGCCACGCTCTTTGGCTAGTATTCGGTGAGTAACACCGTGTTTCACGTGCCTTGGCTCTGTCCGACCAGCCGAACGACTGAACGGTGACGTCCAGCCGCTTGATCAGCATCCTGCGGCGACACTCGTACTCCGACGACAGGACTGTGTTGATGCCGTGCAGCTTCTCCTGCGGGGAGACGCTTCGGTGAGATCTGGGCTTGGCGGGAACGCAAAGCATACGACTTGGACGTCTTTTACGTACCCACTGCTCGCTGCTCAGAGACTTCTGGAACACTGGAGAACCAACGAAGCCTTTAGGAAGGTCTTGAAGCAAATGTTCCACCTAAGATTAAAGGTTTTCGTATTTAGTATGTTATGACTGCTGATATCTGGGGAAAAAAAAACAAAAAAAACATTTAAACCAAGCAATATTTTATTATTTTGCTCTAAGTTTTTATGAAAACTTAGAGCAAAATAATAAACATGATTTGACATGTAGTCAAATCATGTAGTTTAGATTTGACTACATGTGGTCTTAGTCAAATCTAGAAGTTATTTTTCATATTAAATCGTTTGTTTTCCTTCTAATTGCAGCAATGCCAAGTAGAATCTCACCAAAATCAACAAGTCGTATAAAAATAGAGACGAAACAAATCAGCCAGGCAGCTAAAAATCGGCCGCCTGACCAGCCTCACCTTGTTTTTTACTTGAGAAAAAACCTCCGCTGCCTCTCTTCCTCCAGGCTCCGGCAGCTTCAGCGTCTCGCAGATCGCTGAAAGCTCCCGCTGAACCGGACTCTCATCTTGGCGCTTCTCAGAGTCTCTTCTGCCGCTCAGGATTTGAGCCGCCTGAAGCTCGGAGCTCAAAAACACTAAAACAAGGCCATCCTCGTTTTAAACTTCTCCCAATCATCCCTTCAGAAGCTGATTAAAGAGGGCGAACACTCACAGACAAACTTCAGGTGGTCTTTTGTGCTCCGTGTGCTGCCCCGGAGGATCCCTGAAAGGGCTCCTTCAAAGGGACAGCACAGCTCTTTCAGCAAACCGCTCATCTCTACCTGCAGGCTGTCCATGTCGTCTGAAGAGAGAAAACCAAGAGTTGGAAAGTTTGAAAAGATGGTAACTTACTAAAATACTTTGCAGTAAGTAAAAAAAAATAAAATAATAATAATAATAATAATAATAAAAATAATCAAAATTTAGGTCAATTTGTTTAGACTAACTAATATTAAAAGTAGGACTAAACCACAAAGCCTCTGAAATTTCAGCATGACATCCTTGATGTTATCAGAGGGGGTATTATGTATTTCCAGGCACACGGTATTATTTTATAGCACAAAAATGTAATTAATAAGGTGCCCTTTAAAAATGTTTTTTTTTCTTAAGGGGTGTCTAAGAGTCTCTAAACAAATGCCACGTTTTTTCTGATTTTGTGCATTAAATAAATAACGTATCCCTTTCTTTCTTCTTCACAATTGTGACAGACCATTTGTAATGAGGTATAAAGACTTCTGCAGAGCACTGACTGCTTAAAATATGTTATCTTTGAACCTTTAGTTATTTATGGCCGTGACTCACCTGGTCCAGATGTAATGCTCTCCTCCAAGCCACAGAGGGGCTTCAGTCCAGACGCCAACCACCGACAGAGGTCCACATACTCCGGGGACGAAAGGCCTCCGTCTGCCGCTCTTAGCAGCTCCTTCTCCTCCAACAGAGGCCCGTCGTAGCTGCGGAGCGTCGCAGACAACCGTGAGGTATAAAACATTCACACAAGTCACACTTATGTCATGTATCCTCAGACCGCAACATTAGTTGTCTTCAGTCCTACCGAGGATCCGACTTGAGCTCATCAGCTAGTCAACATGCTAGCAGCGATTTAGCTTACCCGAGCTGCTCCAAGGAGTCCAAAATGTCACTCTCCATCCCCGAACTGTTGCTTCGTTGGTTGATTAAAACATGGTAATGTTACGGGTGGATCTGTGTCAATATAGACATGATTTGGACCCATTCATTTTCACCATGATGCCCGTGTATCCAAGGAGTTCCTTCAGCTACATAAGCCGGAGTGAAACAATGATGATAAAAGGTTCCGCCACCGGAAAAAAGCATATATTCACAATAAAAGTAACAGTAGTAGTAGTTGTTGTAATAATAATAATAATAATAATAATAATAATAATAGGTGGACCATAATCATCCTTTATTTAAATGCAAGATATTAATTAAACTGATACAGGCCTATGTGAAAAATGAGCTAAGGTCGACTGAGTCATAGACATGAATGTCTGTGAGTTGAGTAGCCTACTTCTACTCAGGTAGAAGTAGCCATAGACATGATACTTCAGTACTTCCGTATTAGACAAAGAACATAACTAAGAAAAATCAATGCAAATAGGATGATTACAAAATAAAACTTTTAAGTAGAAGTAACATCTTTTCAAATCGCATTCTTCCAACACCATTTTTTGGTGTCACATTATGTCACACAAGTAGAAGTAAAAAAAAAAGTATAGTGTAGTAAAACTACACCTAAAAGTAAAAATATCCCAAAACTTTATCTAGTAAATTTAACTAGTTTCTACCCACCTCTAACTATGACTACTACTCCTAAACTGAACAGGTGTGATTCTAAGGGGCAAATAGTTTTCTCGTCCTATTCTCAAATTTTCTGCAGTGTAAAATAATGCCATTCCTATCCATCACCTAATCATCAATCATGAAGTTTCATGACGTTGTTGTGCTTTAAATGCCCGGTTTGACCTGCTTAACACACTGGTAGGATATCAGTTGACTTATCACCAGATTGAAGTAGGCCTGGTGTTCCCAAAAGAGGTTCCAATCTCAACTCTAAGAAAACAATGTTTTATACACACTATGAGCAGTTTTTAACCTTTAACAAAGAGCATGAATCCCACTTAATGAAGACGTCCGCTTTAATATAAAATTTTGACTTGCAGTGCATTTATGGTCTTAACTAAACCAAAGCTCCTGTTTTCCTTGCTTTTTGGTTTCTTCAGAGTCCAAAGTAGTTGGAAGCTACAACTCACGACCTCTTTACTAAATCACAGGAATGTCTGCCCACTTCACAGCAAAATGTAAAGGAATACAAAGTGAAATGTTGCTCGTTTTGATCCGTTAAATAATTGGACTTTGGAATTGCAGCATTTGACATGATGTTTGCATGTGTCTCATCTAGAGACAGACTTTGGTAGCATCTCCAGAATTTCTCTGTATTTACCTCCATCATTTTATATGTAGGTCAAAACGTTTTGACCTTACCAGAACACCTACCTCCACGTGTTTGCTGTCTGACTCGTGGCTTTTACCAACATTACTTCTTCCTTCTTTCTGACTTTTTTTTCCCCCATAAATACCAGATTTCATGGAGAGTATGACTACAGACCTGTTTATATTCCACAAAAAGAGAGAAATTGTTTCACAGATCTGTAAGAACAAAACGATGTCCTTCTGTTCTTGCAGTAGGTGGGACCTTTGAAGACTTCACAGGCGTTGTGTATTCAGATCTTACAGAATTATTGGATTTTCTTTTGGTGTATTAGAATAAGAGCATTTGCAAAAAAAAAAAAACACAAAAAGGTTAAAATTCACCATTTTATTATGATAATGTTATTTGATATGTCAAATTACAAGTGTATGATGTAACATAAAAACAGTTACAAACATATGTATGCATATTTACATTATATATTTATGAAAAGTAACAAGCTACATCTGTATAAAGAAAATACAACTATGACATGAGTTATTGGTTCTCTAAATTTTACATCAGATACTTGGTATTCTCAAACCTGATAATACCTAGACACATAGAAACCAATTAAACCAGGATGAGTGACGTTAAACTGTAAGATAGAAACTAGGATGGACGTGAGGCACTTTTTTTTTCTTTTTGAGGTTGTCAGGATGCGAAAGCCAATGGCACTAGGAAAACTCAGAAGGAAACACAAATGCTCGGAAAATATGCACTGAGAAAGAACCAAAGGAAAAAAAAAAAAACAGGCAGTGTTTACAGAATAGTTAAGAGTAGTACCACTTATACTGCAAGTTCTTAAAAAACACAAATGTCTTCCACTATTTAGAACTAATCACAAATGTTACATCAAGCGCTGTAAGATGAAAAGGGTGGAGGGGGGAGGAATAAAAAGCTTACACATCATCAGTGCACCAAAGCATCGGAGAATTGAAACAGAACCACTCCACTGCTGTGTAAAGTAATCTTTTCTTTAAACAAAACACTGAAGAGAAAACAGGTTTATATAGCTTCTTTGTTTTGTTTTTTTTTGTTGTTGTTTTTTTGTTTTTTTAAATCTACACAATGTCAAGAATGTACACCTGTATGCATTCCCAAAGATATGCACAATTTCCAAGATCGAAAGAGGATGAAAGACTAGCAGCAAAGTGGTTAAAACTGAAGTCTTAGATAATGCAGGTCAAAAAAATTTTTAAAAATTAATATATATATAAATATATATTAAAGCGGACAGACACATGTTGCATATATATTACAGTACAAGACAGGAAGTTGCACTGCGCTGGTTAATGCAGAATGAGAAGGGTTATTTCAGCATTCTCTACACTTTTTTTTTTCCTTTTTTTCTCTGCATGAACGCACGTCTGTTTTGTTTTGCTTCTCAGCCAGCAAGTTTTAATCAGGTGCATCAAACCTCAGTCAACCCGATTACGATGGGAGAATAATGACAAGCAACCAAACGTTTGGTTAACACACCAACTCCCTCTGCACGCAAACACGCACACACACGCACAAGAGCGCACATATACAGGCAACACGCGCGCACACAGAGCAATCAAACGTTTAAAAATGACGGCTGTTATATGCTGTTGGAGACTTAAGCTTAACAGTCGTTCATAGCTGATTTCTCTGTCAACACAATAAAATTAGTGATTGTATCTAGCAGCTTTATATGTGTATTTATATATATATTTATATATATTTATTTAGCAAACTTTAGAAACAAGTGGACACCCGCTACTGTACTAGCCTTCCTTCTACCGTACAAAACTAGAGAGAGACTCTATTAGAAGCTCAATAGTCGCATCCATCACAAAGCCCTCTACTTTTCAATGTGAAATAATACTAAAAGGTGATCTATGTACAGACTGCTGTCATTAGAAGCTACGGTATAGGCTGACAGCGATGATAAATACAGCTCTATCTTTATAGACTCCAAAGAAAATAAGCTGGGATTATTGTCAGTACTTAAATATAGTGTTAGGTATTTACAGGCGCTTAGTTTGGTACCAGGGGTCGGGGCCGCTAACCTATCGCCAGCGTCCCCGTCCCGTTACTGACTCAAGTCTGCAGAGACGACAGTGTTTTTTTTTTTGTTGTTTTTTTTTTTTTGAGCTTGTTAAGAGTTTGCATAGAAAGTAAAGGGAGCATCGGGCGGCGTGGAAGCGGGTGAGGAGAGTGGACTGAACTCGAGTCCAGACCGGAGCGAGCCGTTGGGGCCGTCGGGGTCAGGAGGTGAAAAGATGTCTGCCTCGTTCGCTGGGTGGGGATGGATTAAACCTGAATTCTTAAAAATTGGAGATTAAGAAAGTTGGCATTGATGGGGGGGAATCAGAAATATGCATCGAAACTGAGCTGGTACTCCTTTAATAGTTAAAATAGGCGATCTTTAAATATTGAAGGTAAAAACGCAGCTTGTTAAGAGAACCTAAAACGAGTACTTTAATATTTATTTACTTCCTGGATTGACTGTAGTCCTTAAGTGTAGATGAAATAATCAAAGATAGTGCAACCGGCAGCTCTGGTTCTGTCCAGCGACGTCCCGATTCACCTAACACAACATCCTGAACCTGCCCAGAGGCAGCTTTTAATATTATTATTATCGTGCTCGTCTGTGTGTAGAAATCAGAAAATGCAGTCTGGCAAGGCGTGACACAGGGAAAGAATTTAAATAAAGCAAGAAACACCTCATTGAGTCTTTTCCTGGCAATTTAATGTAAATAAAAAGAAAACACACAATCGCTGCAAATATTTTCTTTAGATGCTGGACAGAACCAGGGAGCCACCGTCCATCCAGCTTCCCTTCCTTCATCCGCCTTTTAATCCAGCAGACAAAACCTGCCTTAAGTTCTGAATCGAACCCTAATCCAGCCGTCAGTGGGGCAATTAAGACCCAACTGTACATATGAAGAGATATGCACGGGCACTCGCAAAAAATACCTCTGCGCTCCCAAAAGCAATGCAATTCATTCATTCAGGGCCTGTTCAGAGATGACACATGAATGGAGAACGTCTGACACGCTACGGGAAAGGACAGAACACAAAAAACAGATTCAAAGGACAAACAGAAATTTGGAGCCGGTGCTGCAACCAAAGCTTGGAGAGCAGTGCTTTAACGAGGGGTTTCCCTCCCCTTCCCTCCCTCCACAGTCCAATCTGAGTGTTAAATTAACTTGTAAACTTGATCCAATATCTAATAGTTTCTCAATCGGAGAATATCCTAAATTTAAGTGCCTCGTAATTTAAACCAAGGAGCTCCTGCTCCTTTGTTCACCAACGTAAAAACTTGCTGGTTGAGCAACATTTCAACCTTTTAATTTAAAACTAATTACAAACGTGAGCAAGAAGAAAATGAAGTGAGACGATAAAAATCATAAATTCTCTACAGTTGTACATACGAGGGCTCCGAAGTGTCCGTGGAGTAGGTTCTAATGGGATGAGACGGGTCAGTAGGGTTCTGTGTGCCTCGTCCGAGGTGGAGACCGGAAAAGCTGTTTCAGGGACCATTTTACCGCTTCTCATTGTGGGAAAAAAAACCCCTAAAAAAAAATAGCTTAAATCTGGAATGCAATCAAATTCAATAAATAACCTCGGGTCAGGAAATCCGTACCGACAGAATGAAGCTCTGACTGTTTGATTTGTGGCTGCAAAACTTTAAAGTGTTACGCTAAAAGATTGGGGGGGGGGGAATGACACACCACGAGAACCTCTGAAGGTCACCTTTACTTTGAGGGGATAAATACCATTTAGTGCACTTTTTTTTGCTGGCTAGTAATTACATCGTCTGCAAATCCTTGAACCATGAAGGAAAGGCCACTGTTTCCCAAACTGCAAATCCACAAAAAAAAAGCAAGAACACATCCCTTTTAGCACACTCAAACAGCAAGTACTTAGTTTTTCTTTTTGTTTGTCCTCGACGTGAAACGGTTGAAGTTGTTGCCGTCTGTACAAAATTCGTTTTTCCTTCATAGAGTTGCATGTTGTGGCCCGACTGTCAATTTATGAGGGTGAATGTCAAAGAGCTGTGTGTGTGTGTCTGTGTGAGTGCGTAGTAAGATCTGGTAGTCTGTTGATCGTGACGTCTCCTCCGTCTCAGCCTCAGGCTCCTGTACCTAACGTGTTGCTCAGAGCTCCCACAAAGCATCGTGGTTTGTCCTCCGCCGCTGCTCGTCGGCGACAAACGCGAACTGAAATCTCCGAAAGCCCTCAGAGCTGGGGGTCAACGACGCATCACCCCTTCTGAGAGAGGAATGAAAAAAGGATGCCGGCTAGTAAATTTCCGCTTGTATCCACTGCCTTTTTTAAGCTAGCTTTGAGGGTGTCCCAGAGTCCGCTGTGCGTGGAGGTTGGGTTGGTGGCGTGAGGGTCCGGCTCACCCCGCGGCCTTGTGCTTGCCCCCGCAGCAGTGGCAGGCCTCGCCGCAGTGGTGGCAGGCGCGCAGAGGCAGGTAGCAGCACATGCAGGGCGCGATGAAGGACAGCGCCAGCAGCGCCAGCCAGCGCAGGCAGAACTGCTCGTCGGACGTGTCGCACGAGCACGGGTCCGAGAAGTCCCCCTCCGAGTCGGACATGCAGTGGTACAGCATGCTCTCGGCGCACAGCATGCAGCTGACTTTGTAGATGCACTGCTTGATCGGGTCGGGCGCGTCCTGGCACTGCCCCCGCCAGTTGTCCTCGTGGTTGAACATCTCTCGACAGTAAATGCAGCGCGAGCGCTCGCCGTCCTCCCGCCGCCGCCGGCCCTTCGGCTTGGCGAGGGGCGAGGGCTGAGTCTTGATGGCGGGGTCCTTGCCCAGGCCCAGCCCGAGGCCCGACCCGATGCCCATACCGGGTCCGGAGAGGCAGTCGCTGCCGGGGCCGTCGAAAAAATACTCGCACTTCTTACTGTCCAGTTTGTGAAACGAGGCGGGGAAGTCCATGTCCTCTCGGTCGGCCTCGTGCCTGCTCATGACCGGGTGGCGGTAGTCCTCGTAGCCTCGGATGAGGACGTCCTTCCGCGGGTTGATGCGGACGATCTCCTCCTCGTCCACGCGGAAGCTGACTCGGCGAGTCGACTTGAAGGGAAACAAAAGAGGAAAGTTCAGTTAGTTGGATGACTGCAGTCAAATATAAAACTCAGTTATGTTCAGTGACATTTAGGGGTGTTTACTTATTGTATCATTTATTAAATATAATTTCAATATCATTAATAAATATCATTTATTGATATAGATTTCTAATTATAGATTTCTAATTATATAACTCTGATGTATTGTCACAATAAACTCCAATTAATGATGTTTAAAAACTTCTAAAACTGTCCATATTGTTGGGATTGTGTGTCGTTATCACAATACTACCACATAACATTGCGGTACAATTTCAAGTCCATATCGCTCTCAGCCACTCTCACTTAAATATTTCAGATTAAACTCTTTTCGCACTGAACACCCTACGTGAGAGCGTGTTATCCCTCCTTGTCAAATAAAGAACCATCTGTACTCTCACTTGCCACACCTAATCCAGATTACTATCCAACCTGTAGGATCAAGAAATCAATTAAGTAGAACCAGTTTTGTCATTATGAAGCAGAATAAAAGACTCATCAAGTCCAGATCCGAGGAGATTCATGAGAAACAAAGTCTTTTTTTTTTTTTTAAGGCTTTGGGATCTCAGATATCCACAAACAAAATAGTGGCGAGCGGGAAACAAGAGGAGGACTGTGGCTGAGAGAATGCACTGACGACGTAACGGGAAAACCTTGAATCATCATCTGAAGCTCTGCGGGTCCTACCTGCCTCAGGGTCATGATTCAACAATATGAAAAATGATCATGACTTGGGGAAATACTCAGTGAACCTTTTGGAAGAACATCATCATACCAACAATCAAACACGGTGGTGGTAGTGTGATGCTCTGGGGCTGTTTGGGCTAGCCTTAATCTCACAACAATCCAAAATTTACCAGCAAGTCCAAAACTGAGGGGGTAAAAATAAATTGGAATGGCGCAGTTAAAGCCTTATCTAAATATAACGGAGATGGCGTGATGCGACCCTTAAACAGGCCTTACAAGCTGGAAACCCCTCCAACTAAACTAAATAATTCCTCTGTAGCATTGTGACGGACTGTTGGTAATGCTAAATGACGTCCTATGTGTCTGATATCGAAGCTGTAGTTGTTACAAACGTGAATTTAATTCCAACAGGCGGCTTTCAGCAGCTCCAGCAGAGACCCACCTGGGGAGGCAGGTACCGGCGGTTGTCATCGAATGGCTGGGGGGGCACGTAGCAGCCCCTGAATGGCTCGGCGGACACAACGTTGCTGAGAGGAGAGAAGGGCTCTCTGAGTGGCGTACAGATTGAGGGAGGATCATCGCACACCTGGAAACGGAAGAAATTAGGTAAAAATCCAACATGGAAACTACAAAACTAAACATGTGAACCGTTGCAGTGTTGCCTCCAGTTACGGTACCAGAGGATGTCAGCAGTACAATGATGCATTTGAAAGCCTGCTGTGCCAGAAAAAGGCTGCAGGGCAAGAAGAGTTGATAGCTTTGCTACAGCGCCCCCTGCTGTTATTCAGCCAGGGCACACGGGTGTGAAAAGACTCAATTAATCCAACCTTTTATTTAAATTGCATGACAAAAATCAGTAGTACCACTACAGGTGGCACCCTTTAAGTTTCCACAATATGAGTGGGACTCATATATTTTTTTTTAATTTATGCTTCACTTTTTTTATGTTGCTTTAATCAGTGATCCATAACTCTGTTTCCATGGGTTATAACGGTGTTTCCTGGTCACTGGGAGGCACCAGGACCCACTTTTTTTTAGACTTTTTCCACACCTCACAGTGTTGAGTACGGCGGAGGATCCGTGAGGCTTTGGGCCTGTTGTCATTGAAAAGGCGCGGAAAAACTTCTCACTCTTTGAGATGCGGTTATATTAAATAAAAAGAACTGGGGGCTTCTTCCACCAAAACAAACTGCTCAGACACAAAATCAACCTTCTTCCATGATCGTCTCAAAAACCGCTCTCAAATTAAAAGGCTGAATTTTTGCAAGACCGAGTGAGGTCAGGCTTCGCTTTAAACGTATCGACATCGGAAGGACGCCTGAGACACATTCAAAGACGTCAATCTGGACTCTGCAAATTTAAAATAAAAAAAATTGCTGCGTCCCAAGCGTTTGACATCCTCTAATTCCTACTTTATCACTTCGCAGTCAGAGGCACTAACGGTCACTTTTGATGACCAAAACAACTTTTGACTCAAGATGCGTAGGCTTGTTCATGTGTGTGCGCATAAAAGCGTTCCACTTTAACCACCAGGGGGCATCCTGCACCCACGCTTCACCAAATGACGGTGCTGTGTGGTGATGACTCAAGGCCCTTCTGTTACAAGAACTCAAAGTTCCCATTAGGCTTGCATGTGTTCCCACAAACAATCACACACGCACGCACGCACGCACACACACACACATATATACAAAAATGGCTCTTGAAAGAAGTGAAGTCAGCAATGAAAGTAAATCTTCCTTTTACCTTGTGCTGACTGATCTCATGAGGAAAATTCACTGTCGAAATCAGGCAGGATTAGAGGATCTATAAATAGCATTCCGGCGTGGATGCAGAAGCTAAATATTCTCACGCCGTAACATGAGGGAGTATTTTGGAATAAAGCAGGCCCGTTTTGAGGGCAAACGAGAGAAAAATGATCAGTGGCTCCGTCATACGCTCTGATATTCTGTGCATCACCGGGGCAGAGATTTTCCAGCTTGTTCTAGCTCAGGTAAAACACACATCCTGACAACTTTGATCCAACCTTATCCGAGCATTACACACACCAGCTTGAAGTCCCTGTTTTCCCACACACATCCCGACCTCACAAGGCAAGGTTAGTCCTCCTCTCTCCTGCCTCCCTCCCTCCCTCTGCATGTGGAGGAGGCGGCTGGCTCCAGTTAGTCAGAGCTGTGTGTAAAGTAGCCCATGCCAGTGCTTTAACGCGTAGCGGAAATCTGGTTTGCTCCTAGCTGCTGCTACAGTAATTACTGTCCTGTGGTTGCTAAGAGATGCTTCCTTTAACTCCTTTCCCCCCCCTCTGCCTCACTTCTACTCCCCCCTTTTTCAGGCTGCAAGCACATGGTGGAGTGTATGCACTCTTTTTTTTTTTTTTGCCAAAACCACACAAGATTGCGATACCAATCTCCGTGTTTTCTTGGGAATGCGAGGAACAGGAGACAGAGGAAGACGGAGAGGAGAAAGAACAGAGCAGGAAAAAATGAGATTGTGCTGTGTGTGTTTCTGCGTGCGTGTGTGTGTGTGTGTGTGTGTGTGTGCGCGCGTGTGTGTGTGTGTGTTAGAGCCGGAGAAACAGAGAGAGCACGAGAGGCCAAGAGTCTGCAGAGGGAATGTCATAAACTAGCTCCAGCTGGGGAAATGCAGCACAGAGCCTGAAAAGCCAAATGACAGCTGTGTGTGTGTGTGAGAGAGAGAGAGAAAGAAAAAGAGAGAGAGAGAGAGAAAGGGGGAAAGGAACGAGAGCAACCAGTGGAGTGGTGGAGGTGGAGGGAGTTGAGGGGGAGTGAAATGGGAAACAGACTTGGGCTTCCTTTTAAAGCGCTTGCCTAAGCCCCGCCATTCAAAGGCATGCGTGGGGGCCAACCTGAGGCTGATCTGACCCTGGAGATGTGGCGGGCTGCTGGGGGCCGGGGAGGAGGGAGGGAAGGAGGGGGCAACAGGGCTGCGCACCAACATCAGGGACACTTCCGCCCTCACAGGACTGGGAGGCCCGTGGAAGAGCGTCAGCATACTGAAACGCTTACTAGCTCTCTGCAGCACAACCTTCACTTTAAACTCCAGAGGCGGCTTGAGTCTTTGCTTCTTCCGGGAACCAGTTACTACTCTCAAATATAGTAGAAAGGAGCCTTTTGTTGTTATTGTTGTTGGTGAGAATTAAGAATCATCTCCTCTGCCTTAAAGGGCTCTTCAATATTCAGGTGAAATTGAGGGGCATTGCATCTCAAGTCTTTACATGTAGCTATGTTGTTTGTGAAGACCATACCTAAAATATGCCTAACTTCCTTTTCTGTTTTGTTGTTTCTGTCATTAAAATTGTGTTGTCAGTCAGCTGAACCTGTTAAACAGCTCCGGTGTAGAAATGGGCCTGATTTGATCCAATGTTGGTTATCAACCTGACACTCTTCAATCAGGGCAACAGATCCAGAAATGATGCTGCTGTGTTTTTGCAGCGCAGGAAGTTTAAGCAACAATACCAACTGCACACTTAATTAACAAAATATAAAAATTAAAATCTCTTAAAATGTACATAAACTCACATAAAAGGAGAGGGAAAGCATTTGTCACTCGTGTGTCAGTAATAATAACGGAGGAGCGACCAGGAGCTTCGGCAAACATTTCGCGGTTAACAGGAAGTTTCTTCTTTTTCGTACTTTCACACATCAAACTCTTTTTCTAAACTATTTGACATGAAATATGTAGAACCTGCAAAAGACTTTGAAACAAGGTAGGAATGTTTACAATCTAAATACTACCCAGTGAATGCTTTTACAGTTGACTAAGCTAACTATGCTAACAGAAAATGTCAGAAAACAAAACAAAAACACCCGCAGCTTCAAAAGTGTCGCCATCATATATTTCTGCAGCTGCTGTTGAGTATTTACACGTTTTAACATAGAATAGTGTTCACCGTGGGTCAACGCCACATTTACAACTGTGTAGCACTACGGCAGATCTAGGTTTTGATATCAGATGAAGCTTTAGCTCAATGCGTACCGAGGCTAAGATACCAAGATTAGCCGAAGAGACGGGCAGTCAGAAGCAGGAGACATGAACAAACGCAAGATGGCTCATTTTACGACTTTATGTGGAGAGTTTATCACCTGGGTTCACCATCACGCTTCAACATCATGATGAGGGAATTATTCTTCATCAAAATTGCTACCGACGTCTGAGCTTTGCCCACTTCATGTCCAAGAGATGAACTGAAGTTGATTTTTATCTGCAGCGATTTTCTGCTGTAAAAAAAAAAACAAAACAAAAAAAAGAAAGCAGAGGGTCTGCTCTGTGACGGAGGCTGTAAACGACAAGTGACCAACAAACTGTCTGCGTACCAAAGCGATAAGAGAAAACTTCCTGCCAGAGCCAAATTAGATGGGAGTTTTCCTGTGCTGTTAGATGGGGTTAGGGGGGAAGAGAGACACTTTACTCCAAGCTGACGGAAGGACTAGGACTGTTGTGGTACTGCATGATTCCTGGCAGTGGGCTGTCACAGCTGAGCAGGCTTATTGTGCAACCACTTTATGGGTAAAATATGTAACATGTGCATACTGTCTGTCTGTCTGTGTGTGTGAGTGTGTGTGTGTTTTGAGAGAGGAAGAATGTGGTAAGCTTGTGAAGGGCATGCATGTGGGAGCTTGGCCTCAGTGGGCAGGATGTGGGTGGAATGGACCATCTTCGATACATTTCCAAGCACACATGTGGAACAATGCAAGGCTACGAGGAAAACCTATTCACTTCATCAGAAATATGTGAAGCTAATCAATCAATACATAAGATTAATGGTTACGTCATCTAACGAGCCACTGTTGCCTCCTTAATGACAGCGAGGCTTGAAGTTCTTCTGGACTCCAGAGCAGCCGGTTTAGAAGTGCCCTGATGAACGTGAAGTGACGGCGAGGAAGTGATCGCAGCAGCGGCATCACTTGAAACTAATGTCAGACCTTATTGGACGGTGGCAATCGCTGGTTCTCTGACTGCAGCGCTCGCCTCGGGTTCACTTCTCTTTCTCTGTGGCCCGGGCCTCCGACTGCACCATTCAGATGCCAAATCACCATGGTGATACCCTCGGTGGCTCACTGAACCCCATGAACACAACCCGCCCCACCACCACCCTCCAATTCTACCAGTTTCAAAGTGCAACCCCCCTGCTGCCTGGCAACAGTGGTGCCATTGGATTTCCTGTATGTTTGGGCTGATTCCTTAAAGAGGAACTTTACCGCAAGAGCAGAAACAGAGCGTCGCCTCTTCTCTTTACTCTCCCGCTCCATTTTATGAAAACTTTGATGCATCTGGGCAGATTCAGAGGAAATGACAACCTTTTTAGGAATAAGCAAAATGCCAACAGCGGGATGGACTGGCACCAGAATTTCTGTTAAGAGGGTAACGAAACATGACCATAACGAACGCTTGTTTCAAAAGCATAATCAGAAATATCTGATTCCATACAGTATAGGGATGAAACAATCGGATTAATTGCAACCTAGTAGTCGATTAATTGCTAACTGGAGTACACAGGTTTCTGGTAGAACACCTCAAAATGCATAGTTTTAGCTTCAACTGGTTCAAAATCTATAATTAAAAAAACACCCATCATCTCCTGTTAAACACCTTTTGCTATCCAATTATTAATTGGTTAAATGAAAGAAATATCTGTTCATCTTTAGACTGATGTATCTGTTCCTCCTCGTACGAACAGGTCACTGATATTCAAAAAAATGTTTGTTTGCTTGAACAGTATGCTTGCTGCTTCTTTATGCTAGAACTACTCATTGACAGTCAATCGCCACATTATAGAGGCGGACTTGGTTTTTGATTTGTATCAAGGAGACGTAATACTTTACATTAAAGGGTTGGTCACAAGGCACCACTCATGATGTCTGCTAAAGCTTTGGGTTTGTTTTGCACTGCGTATCAGTTTCTAGCCATGATCAGTCTCCTTTTTATAAAGTAAAAACACAATGTGAGAGTCTTAATTATACTGAAGGGTCTGTAACTCACCGGTAGTCCATCCTCAGGAGTGTCCCCTTCACCAAATGGACTAGACACTGGAAAAGAAGAAGGGCACATGACAAACGTTTGACCTGAGCATTTCACGTAATCCAAAAACAGTACTTGTGTAAATAAAATAAAAAATATATATATATCTGAGTACTAGCATAGGCAAACTTATAGTTTTAAAACTTCGCCACTAGAGGGCAAAAACTCAAAATAATCAAGAGTCCTGCCCGTCGTCTTCCTCCAACCAAAACACAACATTTCAAGCAAACACTATCAAACATTCGACTGAATTCTCAGCAAACCGATCTTTCATTTTTCTGCTTCACCATTAATGTTTAAAGTCTACTCTGCTGAGCACGCCAGAAGTTTTATAACAACGGATCCTTGTCAGGCCAGAAAAGGTCAAGGCTTCTGGTTTCCTTTGCCTGTCGCCTAATGGGGAAATGAAAGCTGCTTTGTGTTAGTGGGTGGGGGGGTGGGGGGGAACACAGAAGTTAATGAAATATGCAGGAGCCAGAATAATGTGACCCCAAAATGCCGTGAACCATTTTTATATCCAAATTAATTGATGATAGGAGTCAGAAAGCCAATCTTTTAGATGAACTTTTGAGAAGTTAGGAAAACAATGTGATCTTCGTTTCGTGTAGTAAATAACTTTAAGAAAGTAAATACTTAGTACTTTGCAAAGAAATGAGTTGCTGTAACATATTTCTGTGTTACATAATATGTAATACTTTCAAATGACAATCGTCATTTCCTGAAATTACAAATAATAATGATAAAAATAAGCTTTTCTTTTTTACAACACAAAAGATTAAAAAAAAATAAATTTAAAGAAAGAAATATTGATTTGTGGGCATATTTTATTCATAAATAAAGTCTAAAAACTACTGGCCCTTTTTTAAAACAATGACTTGTTTTAAAGTAGCAATACATGCAGCTGAAACCCAATATTTAAATCATTTTTCTTACTGTCTCAACTTTTTTTTTAAGCAAACAATTCCTTATTATTTAGTAGAATTAGCTCTTTTTCCTATAAATGTAATGATGGCCAAACGCAGAACCCCTGACCTTCCCAAACAGCATGAAGTCAGGAGTACATGCATGTTTGAACAGATCGCCATTGCACCTTCAGGCATTTGGAAATTGTACCCAGCCAGATTTGTGGCAGTCAATAGTCCTTTTCCTGGTTCTCATTATTCTGATATTTAGCAAATCTAAATTATTCTGGTAATCCCTGCTGACCAAAAACAGGAAAAGTTCAGTCATATTGAACGTCAGAAAAGACAGGGAAAAAAAGCTGTTACGGTGTGTGTAGATATCTGATTTAAACATGAAGTTTAATTTGCCTCTAAAGTAAAGTAATATATTCATAAGCTTCAATAGTACAAGACGGAAACATTTTGCAGGGTAGAATATTTCTATGTAAATCCATTTGTTTAAACTGGGCCTTTCCCCTCTGTACTGTCCAGTAAACGTCACATTCAGCTGTACCTTGGAAGTGGGAAGCTGTAACTACAAATCAAGCCAGTTTCGACCACAAGATAAACAAACACGCTTCTGTTTGCTCTGTAAATTGCTCTTTGGAAAAAAAAAAATCATCTGAGTTACTGATCAGGAAATCAAACTTCCTGTGGTGTGGATATTTGGTCACTAAGCTCTCCCAGCTGGCAGTGAAGGCAGCGCAATGTCAGCAAAGTCTTAAGGAAAAATCAGTGACATTTGCCAACACACGATAAATCTTTATTAGATCTTTTTAAAAAATAAAATAATAATAAAACAGGAAAACATGATTGGAAAATCAGGGAAAACTTGGACCGTTCCCACTGGAACATTGTGCCTTTCCCCCGCAATATTCCAGAGAAAGTTGTTTTACTGTACCACTGGCACCAAGCGAATCTTATAAAACACTGTCTCATTTAATTAAAATCAATTAATTACATGCCTAATTTAAAGCAGCGTCAGTCAGTTGGCTGTGCTTGGGATGAGAACAGGGAAACATGATAATATCGTCTCTGTCAGGAGAGAACATTTTACTGGGCCTGTGTGAGACGCTGTCTGTCTGTCGCTCTGTCCGTCCATCTCTGAGTCACATGGAGGAAGGCTTTGTGTGTGTGTTTGTGTGTGTGTGTGTGTGTGCGTGTGTGCGTGTGCGTGTCTGCGTGCATTGCTCTGCTTCCAAGAGAAAGAGGCCTCTTGCAGCACGACTCTGGCAGTGCTGGGCCGCGAAGCTGCCTGAGCCATGTGCTCGCCGTTGCCTTGGCAACAGCAGACTGCAAGACTGATATGCACACGTGCGCACACACGCGCAGGCAAAAACATATTCGCTCCTGCTGCACACACACACACGCACACACACACACACACACACACTAGCACCAGTACAGCAATGCAACAGGAATACAGACGAACTCGTCTGCCTGCGCAGAGCCGAGGCATTACACAACATCGCCAGAATACAGAGAATGCCAAGCGAGAGACGAAAACAGACAAAAGGCAAAGGGGTGGCAGGGTAAACAGGGAGAGACAAGTGCGGGCGCTAAGGCAGAACCTCTCTTACTGATGTTCACACATGAAACTCTTCACATTTGGAGCAGCTATGAGCTGACCCCTTCATTCTTTTTTTTTTTTTTTCCCCCCCACGTTGTGCGCATGTTGAACAACAAACTTCAACGTATGTTGGGTGGGGGCTGTTATGTAATGCAACAAGACGAATCGGAACCTGACTGTGAAGCTTTTACAAGTAAGGATATGAGAAGATCATTCGGTGGCGTGCATTTTGTGTTAAGCTTTTTTCCTCTCAACACCCCTAAATAAAATCTAGTTTACCAAATCAGAGTCGACCTGTGAGCAATTTAGTCTCAGTGTAAATCCGGTTGTTCTGTTAAGGCCAGAGAGGTTTTTAACTGAGGACCAAGCAAGACACCAGGCAGGTCAGGGATAATATTGGAAACAGCATAGCACTGCAGAAAACCTAGTAAAACTTGGCTTTCTATGTTAATTTGACAAGAACAGAATAAACTGGACAAGCAGCCAAGAAGGACTCTGGACTCTGAAACAATTAATCTGATTAATTGTGAATATCTGATTATTGAAAAAGTCGTTGACTAATTTAAAAATTAATGAATTGTTAACTGGAGGACAACAAACACAAACAAAAAAGGTAATTTACTGAAATATACATATTCAGAGTAGAAATTAAGTCAAAACTGTACAGAAAATATATTAATTTTTTATTTAAGATAAAAGAAAAAGAAAAAAACATGTTTTAGCCAAAACTTCTTAAGAGGCATAGTTTTAATTTTTTAATAAAGGAATGTTATGATATTGCATTTTAGACAATACAATCTCTACTTTCTTAATCAAGAAACAAAGGAATTTAATTATTTGAAAAATCTGTAGAATGTGCCATCCATTTTTTATATCAAATTAATTGATTAATTGTCAGAATAATCGATAGATTACTCAATTACTAAAATAATCTTTAGTTGACTCTACAAGTCTGACCTTTCCGAACCAACAAGGTGAAAACTATTGTTGAAAGGAAACTTTAAGAAGTCCCCGGTTCTGTTTGCTCCAAGCCGTTTAGATGCAAACATGAGGAAGAAGGGGCTCTGATCAGATGGAAAACTAACACAGCACAATATCCTGCACACACCAGTGCCTAAGTGAAACACGATGTTGGCAGCATCATGCTGTGGGGAGGCTTTTCCTCAGAAGGATCAGGGGAGCTGGTCAGAGTCGAAGGAAAACAATTTGAGACCGGGACAGAGGTTCATCTGCTTGCTTGACAACAACCACACACATACAGCCAATAGAATAATTCACACCAAACCATATTTGTGTCTTTGAATGGCTCAGTCAAAGTCCAGTCATAAAACAAATAGATAATCTGCGTGGTAAAAGTATTTCATCTGGCTGCACTTGAGCTATTATGTGTAGAATGGGAAAAATATCCAAAAAGATTACTGCAGGTTAAGGTGATTTGAAAAAATACTGACTCACCACACTTTACAGATTTTATTTTGTAAAAATACAATTCCTTCAACGTCACAATTATTTGCTACTTTGTGCTGGTCTATCGCATAAAATCCCAATAAACAAGCTGGAAGTTAAGGGGTTAAGATGAACAAGTTGTTCTCTGACATGACAATTTACAGATTAAGTTTTTTAAAACATTCTCCAATCTGAATAGTGTGTGGTTGTTAGAAGTGTTATCTTTATGATAACACTGCGTTATGTCTTGTCTAACAGGAAACGCAGTTTGCAAACCCAAGCATTAGCATTAAATCAATCAATCAATCAATCAATCAATCAAGTTAATTTGTACAGCACGTTTCTGCAACAACGCAGTTCAAAGTGCTTCACGTCATAAAAACACAAAAACACAAAGTCCCCACAGTCAACAATTGAAGCATTACAGGTACCTTCAACCTAGAAACTGCCTGGACTTGTGCCCAAAAGTTCAAATCTCAGATAAGCAATTGTGGGCAATAAGAGACTGATGCAAAGCAGTGATAAGCCTTTATTATACAATGTACTGTTCCTCCTCTATACTCCCCTAGGGTTCCAGATCCAAATCTTCCCAGCTAGCCAGCTCACCTCTTGTGTAAGAATACTGGGTGGCAGATTGCTGAGTTCGCAAGCCTCCTACTAATTGGATGACTTTGAAACCTTTGGCTCTGTACAGAAAAATATTGCTTATCAGGACCCAAAGCTGCCAACTCAAGTCCATCACAACTTAAATAGCACTCACTACACCGCAGGCCAAAGACTACTCCAGCCATTCCTCAATTTTAGCAAACAGAAACTCAACCTGACTGATTTCTCCTGACTGAAGTTCAAGCCGTGTCTCAGGGTGCCATCTGTTCTAAAAGTTTCTCATCTTGCTTCAGCTTCTCTCTCTCTCTCCCTATGAGACACTGAGTGAAGAACTGTCAGTCTCTACAGGAAGAGCTGAGATTGTCTAAGCAACTGGAAGCGACAGGATATCACAAGAAGGGTCTTGCTTGGGTTCAGTGAACAAGCGGCAGCAACGGTGCAGTCATCAACACCAATCGACACTACGCATCTCTCATCTCTCCCAGAACAGACGCTAGGTCGGCCGTTACACGGCAAAGGTAAACACGCCGCTTCATGGTGGAAACTTGGAACAAGTATTTCTTGTTGGCGTGACAAAGGAGAATTCTACAAGTAACTCGGATGTTTTTGACAAATGGGAAACAATAGCCAGCACTCGACGGATGTATTTTTAAGGTAAAGTATGTTAGCTGAGGTAATGCTGACTTATCTGGTTTGACTTGCTCTGAAACACAGATAAAAGCCACACAGACAGCAGAGTAGCACGCCCACACCTTTGTTAATGTCCTCAATGGCCCGGCGCACTCCCCTGTCAAAGGCGCGAGCATCAGCGGGGCTCTGGAACGTCAGTCCAAACTTCTTGTCATTGATTCTCCAGTGGTGGAAGATGGGGTTGACCTTGTTGTATACCAGGTCTCTCTGCAGAACACATTCCAGCACCACCTGGAGACACACACACACACACACACACACACACACACACACACACACACGCACGCATACGCGCACACACACACACACACACGCACACACACACACACACACACACACAGTTTTCCAGTCAATAAGGGTTACATGGCAATAGGTCCAACTGTGCAACAGACCTGATTACAACATTCAGGGTACATTTAGACCTCATCTAGAAACAAATCAATGGTAGGTCTATACCTAACTCAGATTAGGTGTAAATGTTTGATCTGCAAGTATCCCATGCAATCCTGATGTGGGGCACAAAAAGTCTGCAAGTCAGAGAGAAATGGCACAAAACCAAGACCTAAACTGTTGTTGTATTGTTCTTATTGTTGTACTGCAGTCTTGCCCCTTGCTTCCAAGACAAATTTCTCCTTTTGGAGACTAATAAATGATCTTATCTTATCTTGATATGATAATATCATAACGGTAACATCGATGAGTGTAAAAAATATAAGTATTTTGTTTATTTTAGGGGGCAAAAGTGACTTCTTGAAGGTAGAAATAAGAAACGTATTCACATTTTTTTGTCGTTGCGGATGAATACAACATGCATTCTGTTGAACATCAAACTGAAAGAAGGTTACTGCTTCCAAGACAGGCAAATAGTTATCTGTAATATTTCCACTCACAAATAACACAGACAGTCATAACTAAAAGAGCAGCACCCATAATTAAGGTATTGCTGTTTAAAAATTTCAGTAGCTCTGGCTATCAGAGCAGATAGCCCAGCTAATTTACCTTGTTACACTCCCAGTGTCACCCCACAAAGATGAGGGAAAATAAGTATAATTTGTGAAATAAACACTACATTTCATGGTTGTTCCTGCTACAGTTCTGGTTAAATATGAGTATTAAGGGAAGTACAATGCTGAAGATAACTTTTATACATGTAATAATCAATAAATAACATTATTCTGGCAAAAGCTGTTTTTGCCTGAAATAAAAATAAAAACTTATTTTTTTTATTTATTTATTTATATTAAAAACATCAAACTATATTTCTTCAAGGTTACTACAACATAAGGATTTAATCTCATCTCAACTCGGTCATCCCAAAAGTTGAAGAGCAGAGGTTTCAGGAGACCAGGTGTGTGTGGGAATGTTTTAAAGCCAGGAAGCCCCGAGAGCAGGGCGGAAAAGAGGCTGTGCTTCCAAAGCCTATTATTAATCAGGGTTACTGGGCTGCCTGCTGGTCTTCCTCTGGGTAGATTAAATGAAATGAGAGACGGCCATTACTCTCGGTGAGGTTTTCTCTGACATGCACGAGAGGTGACTTAACCGAGTGTGGATGTCGGAGCGCGCACACGGCAACACAAAGGACGAGAACGAGTAGATGCTGTAGCCGGTGTAATTAAAATGAAGACACTGTCTGTAATCTGGCGGGTAATGGTTCCTAGCCAATACTCGATGAATGCGAGCCTGCTCAGGTCTGAGTATTGGAAGGGATTGAAAATGTTGGTGGTAAGTTTCACGAAAGAGTGGACATGTCATTCTATCTGGGCGAGCTGCTTTGTAACCTCTCAGCATGTCCCCGTACCTTTCTTAAAGAAGAAAAGACGGGCCAAGGGTTATCCTTGTGTGTTTTCCCAGAGCTGAAGGATAAAGGGAGGGAAGACGAGAGGGATGGGGATGTGGAGAGGATGGGGTGATGAGACGGGATGAGGAGGGGGGGGGAGGGTAAGGATGGGGGCGCATAGTGCCTCTGGGGGTGACTGTGGAGGCGAGACTGGATGGAGCCAGAGCTAGTAAGGTGAGCGTCGCAGCAACGCCTGACAGAGGAAGAAGTATCACGGTTGCATGGCGGGATGACACTTAACACCACATTCCACAATGTGCTCAAAGAAAAGAGCAGAGGAGGAGGAGCCACCTTTCCAGAGAAGCAGACAGAAAGCGAACACAGACAGGATGTGTTAAATGAGGTGAGGGACAAAGACGGCTGGATGCGAGATCCGTGCAGAACGGTGATATTGTAAGACAAGACCGATTGGGACCAAACACAATGAAACAAAGCAGGAGAAAAAGTAAACCAGAGAACGCACCGAACGCTTTGTGTCGAGAAACCTCATTTGATGGTCATTTGAAAAAAAATAAAAATAAATAAATCACCTTTTGAAAGCTAAATATTAAAATTTAGCCTGCTAATATATGAGTTAAAATGATTACATGAAACACTGAGATGCAGCTATTCCTAGACACCACCACATTTACAGCTCAAGAGCTACCTGTGGTGAAAAGTTAAGGTGCTGAGGTCGAGAGCTTAGTCAGAGATTTATCATAATCCAAGAGCTGGTATGGTCAGTCAACGTCCACCAATTAGGTCTGTAGTTTTAGGAGAGGCGAGAGTGAGAGAAAGAGAGGAGGGAGAGAAGCAGGGAGGAAGTCGGCGAGTGATTGGTGGCTATATGGAGAGCCAGCTGAGTCATCACCAGCACACTCTGTGCCGCATCACTGCGCTTATAGACAAAACCCCTCCACCTCTTTTCTTCCGTCTCCCATCTTTATGGCTCCACCTCCACTTCCTGCTCTTTGATTAGAAGCCATTCTTTTCTCTTTGAATTCCTCTCGCATCTTATGTGTCCTCAGTCACCTGATAACGGCTTGCAAAAAGACTCACATTTTGCTTTGCTGCTTAATTCAGGCTGGCAGGTGTGCGTAAATCACACAGTGCGTTGGAAAAGTATTAAGACTCTAATGTGTCACAAACACAGGCTTCGGTGTATCTATTTTGTTTGTTTGACAAAGACCGGCACACACCAGGGCATAGCTGTAAATTAGAAAATGATAACACCTTTTCATAAGGAGGAGCAAATAGACTCATGGGAACTCCAGAGATCCACAGGTCAGGATGAGGTCAATTTCAAGCTTTCTGCCAGATAATCAACACCCTTAACAGTAAAGGGCATGGTGGTGGCAGCATCATGCTGTAAGGGAAGCTGGCATGAGCTGATGGGAAGATGAGTGTACTACTGGGTGTTACTGGCAGAGCTTTCAATCAAAAAAAGCCTTTTCCACCAAACTAGCGACAGCACTTAATTGGTTCTGGATGTTACTAAATAGTTCTTCATGTTTGAACCCAGAGAAACTCTGGACCTGGCACCGAAAACAAGCGCTGCATCAGAACTGTCATGCTGCTGGGGCAGATGAAGGAACCACTTTTGTCAGAAGTCAGGGGCGGTGTCTTGGGGGAACGGCAGCCATGTCTGAAACGCCGTAGTCCGATTTCATTTTTGATCAGTCAAAATAAAATAAAAAATACTTCTTCAAATTACAGGTTTGCTTAACTCTCCAATAAAAACAAAAGCGTTTCTGTTGTAAAACTGTGGCAACAAGAAATTCTGTAGCGGCAGGCCCTGATATTGAGTGTTTCTTCCTTGCTGGCTAACATTAGTATGTGGTTTGCTGTTTCCTTGGAGTCATCCCTCTGAGGCCCTCAGACAATTGGTAGCACTGAGGTTGACGCCAACACCCTGGCACTGGGTGGCATCCCGACAGACCTACATATGGCCGGGTGTTTGTTGTGGCGACTGGGGACCCTGGCGGTGATCGGAGTGTTTCACCACATCCCAGAACAGTTGCCGGGGTCTCCGAACCACGTCTGTGCCGCGTCTGAACAACGGCGTTCTCGTCACACCCTTTTCCTGTGCCACACGCGTGCTTGTGTAGCAACGCACAAAACACAAACCCGTCACAGACATGAAACGCGCGTAAATAAGCTTCAGTCAATAAAGATGAAAGCGGTGATTCAGGCGCCCGTGTAACAAGGCTCTAAAAGTCAGATAGTCTGGGTTTGCCAGATTCTGTGCATCATGGTGGCCTCTCCTCTGTGATCTGGCATCCAACATTTCTCACACCAAGAGATTTACAGTCGCTTTACCGCAGAACAAAGATATTCTAAACTTTATCTACTGGATCTGGCTTGCATCTAATGTGCACAGTAATGACAAGAAATTCAGCTACTCGAGAAGAAATAGACTGATAATACAGAATATAAATAACTTCAACTAATATCTTATGTGTAACTGTTTAACATAGCGTAAAAAATAAGTGGTTTAAATCATGCATTTCAATAACTGTCAAGATTTTACACTTTTTCTTTTACAAACATTTTAAATAGATGCAAACTGATTATACTCTGAGCAACTTTTATTTTTGAAGCGCTCTAGTAAGAGACAACAATATTCACAGTGTACTTCATTCTCACACATCCACACTTATATCAGCGGAGCTGTCATGCAAAATGCAGCTCCAGCCGTTTCCTGGAACTTGGCGTTCAGTGTGCCAGAGGGGCAACACACACAGAGGTCAGAGGTCAAACTGCTGACTGTTACTGAAGGACAACTCAGTCTAGGACATAAAAATAATTAGTAAGAAGGAAAAACAACAAATGCTCAATCTGTGATAATTATTACCCCAGCTAGCTGCTCTTTTCTTTTCTGCATTCATAAAAAAAAAAGAAAGAAAAATGTTTTACTGAAGGAAAATATTGTGTAAAAAATTGGGTTAAATCTTCCAGAATCCTGCCATGCTTTTAGACTTTCTCACATCCCTCATCCCACATTCTCATCTGAGTAATGTGGCCTTCTCCCCGATGAAGTCATCGTGCATCACAACATCACGCAGTTTGCTCCTATTTTCAGTTACCTGGGCCACAGAGGAGAGCCAAAACACACTTCCTGTGTGGCTGAAAGTGTGAGTGAGGCAGCGAGGGACAGGAGTCTGGAAAAGCTGGACTCACAATGATCCTGCTCGACAGAACGCACTGTTTATCATTTGCACAAATCATTGCGCTTTAAAGGGCACGTCTGGAAAGAGTGTGAAAATTAATGTGACTTTATTTGTACAGTTCCTTTCAGAATTATTTCTGCAGACTCATTGTGTAGATGGGATGCTCGTTTTGGGATTTTAATGATTTATTTGAATCATCTTTTGCCAGAGTGCAGCAGTCATACAGCTTGCATTCATTTTAAACGAGGTGTACAATTTAGAATTTTGTGTTACATTTTTCTCATCTGTACAGAATCAAATATGCGCATACGTCCCCACCCGTGTTCAACTTGTATTATTCTCTCTTGATATTTCACTACTCTTGCTATCAGAACGAGTAGAGTTCATAAAAAATTGCTGGTTTCCTGGAATGACCCCACTTTTAAAAGGTTCTGGCAGAAAGGCCATTCCAGATGTTAGCCCAGTTCATCCATTCAAAAAACTATCTTGATGTGTGTTTAGGATCATTGTCAATAGTTTAATTATGTAGCTGCTGATATTTCTCCTTTACTTTTCCATCCACATGTACAATGTTGCGTTTAACATCTCACACTTATCATTGAGACTAAGACGCTCCATCTTCATCTTGCCTAACCGTACAGATTCTTCTGGAATAGAGGATATGTTCTTGCTTTTTCCTATTAATGGCAGACTTGAGCCCTGGTTATTCCTTGGCTGTTTGTCCCGGATAGTTTCTTTAATTTATGCCGGCGCAGCGGTGACGAGCCTGAATAATTTGAGAACATTATTTCAAACTGGAGGTCTCGGGAATCTGCTCTTTAGAAATGACTTCAGACAGCTTTTTGGGTAGATCTAAAATTCGCCTTTTAAGGTTTTCACTGAGTTTTTTTGGGGGTATTCCCATTGGTCAATTGATTGAGTGCTGTCAAATGAACCCTTCTAAAATGAAAATGACAAAACCTACTAATGTTATTTATCATCAACTAAAAGCTAATAAGGTTTTAAGGTAAAAGTACATCCTAAAACACCAATTATTTAAAGACTTAGGAGAATGAATGTATGAGCTTGTATTGATAAGAAAACCGCACTTGAAATTCAACCATTTTGGTACAACGTAATCAAACGTTTTTCCATTGTATGCAGACTTTTCAATGAATGAAACTGTATGCACACTGTTAATATGAGTGCATACTGTTAATATGAGTGCATGCAATGTAGTGAACTCATGGTGCAGGCTTTACATTCTCTCACCAGTTTGTCTTTGAGTCTCTCGCCCCTGATGTGGAACTCCACAGCGGTGGGACTGGGACTCGGACTGGGAGTGGAACTACAGGGGCTGAGGTTGCTGCCGCTTCCTCCGCTGCCTCCGCTGTGGGTGCTGTTGTTGTCCTCTGCCCGGCTGACCTTGTAGACGGTGACACAGCTAAGTCCTCCACCCCCCAAGGGAAGCCACCCACCGCTGGAGTCATCCCGAGTCATGACCACTGCTCTCACACGCGCATAACTGTCACTGCATGAGAGCAAGGGAAGAAGACAAGCAGAGGGGAAAAGAATGAAAAGAAATGGAGTTAGCTACACTGTGCAAAACAAACGATATTTACAAATTGGCTGCATTTATTCCCTCGTTTGCGTCAGCTAGGTCCCATAGCATTAGCTGGCATACTATTTGTACTAAACCCAACACTAGGATGAGAATCTTCCCAAAGAATAAGGTTGTAGTTTACATTTGGATACTGACAACAATAGCACAGGTTTGAGACTGACTGATTTATCATTAGCTAAAAACTAGTCACAAAAAAGTATTATGCATTATACTATATTTACTATGATGTAGCAGAGTACAGTTACAGGTGCAATAAAAACAAAGCTGGACAATAAATGATAGATTTCCCCAGCAAGATAACATAAAAACACAAAATTCTGTTTTTTTTTTTTCCTTTTTTAACGACATCACTAAAAGTTCAAGAGTCGAGCCTCTAGTGAATGTTTTGGTGGACAAGCAACATTTCACAGACTTCCATGTAACTGAGATAATGAGTTCCACTCCAGTCTGACCTGATTGTTGTCTCAAACCGTTGCGTTCTATTAGCGCCAAATGTTGCCACATATCATGTCACCAGAGTCAGATAAACATGAGCCTTGTTTTTGATGGGGTTTTACAACAAAACCAGGTCATGTTCTATAGGTGACAAACTACATCTAAAATGAGTTCGGTTTACAAAGCATTTCGGCTAATTGTTTTAACAAAAAAACAAAATATATATATTTTTTTACATCAAGAATGTGTTTACTTAAAAAAAAAACAGATGTGCCTAAATTCTGCAACAGATGTGTTTTTTAATAAATCAACTCCATTTGAGCATTATAGATGTAACATATTCAAGAAACACATAGGAAATAAAGAGAAAGTGACAACAATAATGTTCCTAAATTCATTGTGACTCACATAACAGGCTAAAAGCTGTCTGAAGTTGTCAGTGTATCTTTAACCCCAGCCAGAGGGTGAGTGACCATGTGGTCATGTTCAGTCTATGGCCACAGCTGAATCCAAAGCTTTCAACGAAAGCAGAGGTTTTAAACTAGAGAGTACATCATTCTCCCCTTTCCCCTTTGAATCACAAAATAAAACTTTTAAGACAATCCTTTCACATGCATATCATATCACATGCATAATAAAACTGCAATTAAACACCAAAAAAAAAATAATAATAATAATCCAACAGCTTACGTAAAGTAACGCAGTTGACATATATAGTCAGATTTAAAACAAATGAGACGTACACTAAAAGGTTTTTCTCTTCATTTAATTTAGATTTTCCCGGAGTTTAAGCAGATATAAATATTCATATATTTATATATACACCTGATATTTCTATTGAGGGATTTGTGTGGACTGCAACTCACCAACACCAGCATGTTCCGATGGAAATGCAGCTCAATGTTAATCATAGTGTGTTCGGAAAATGGCGTGGTTAGTGTTTTAACGTCATCTTACTTATGATCTACTTTTAAGATTTCTGAAGCAGGTGAAAAGGATTACACCCTTGAAGGAAAAGCTGCATGTGTTTTATCATTTCTCAGAACTTCTTAACATGAAATTCTGCTAACAAACAGCAAGTTTTCTGTCCTAGTAAGTAAACAGTTGTAAGTAAACTGAAGATTGGTGGTTTTGCAGGTTAAATCAATAAATCAAGTGAAAAGTTAAAAGCACAACCGCCACAAAGGACTTAAAGGCAAAGCTGAAACTCTGTGTATGGTAGGATAAGAGTAAAACAGCTTGTTTGATATCTATTCCAATAATTGCTCATTTAAAAAAAATCAAAGATTAAGTTTGACTTTGTTCCGTTTCTGCTCTTGTTTTCTCACCTTTACTCAGATTGTTCCCTGATGAGGTAACAGTGAACAGGGCCATCGGAAATGACAAAGGTCAAGGCGTGCTGAGGACTAGTAATACATTAAAGACGAGGAAGATTATCAAACCAAGCAGAAAATAGCTGGAGATGTTTGCGAGCAGATGACTTCCTGTGACAAACTGCTCTCTGGTCAGTTTAACCAGCAGAGATGATGTCAGAATGTGAAGTGTTTGCAAAGAATGTCACGAGCAGCGGCCAAACGTGAATCAGACACCGAGCGAGAGGATTTTCACTCCCAGCGACCGTATCTGCCTTCATATGAAAGCTCCTGGCGCCAAGAACACAAGAGCACCACATTTATAAAAACATAACAAAAGATCCCACTGGCAAAATCAAACGCACACCACCTTCAAGAGGAAGGGTATTATTTCTATTTGGTCATTAATACACAAGTGTAACATACTGAAATAAAACTGGGACACCCCGTCATATTTATCAAAAAGACTTTGAAACAACCATTTCTAAACATTACTTACTATATTCATAATATTTAAGCGATTTGTCCTTGATATACTGAACTGAATGACATTGTAATAGATATTCTTTTCATATAAGCAATATAGAAACCTGTGTTTTTAAATTGCTCTAGGAATACAAGTGTATGTTGAGAAACTGAGAAAAGCGTGGTGCCTTCAGGACAACCAACATCCCAGACAAAACCTTCTGTTAAAAGTTTTATAAAAGTCCAACAATTTACGTTACTTAAAACACAAGAAGACTATGACAGGAAATTTGAAATGTGAACTTTTGTCTCATCTTTGTTGAATTATCCTATTTTAATCTGTTCTATTGTTCAAGTCAAGAATTTAATCTACTAACAAAATTGACAACACAGAAACTAACTGGCTTTATAAAAATAATGTGAATCAAGCAGGGTTTTCTGTACTTTCTAGAGTTTAGCTGTGGGTTTGAACCCACTGCTTTAGAGATGTGTGTTTGCAGCCAAAGAAATGCAGCAAATCATTGAGTATGCTGCACATTAAAATACGGATGAGTGATATGCACAAAAAGGGCTAGCAAGAAGAGAAATGAGGAACTACAAAATCTATTATTTCCCTAAGTAGCTTGAAAACAGCATAAACCTAGCAACAAAATTGAGAACTATATGTGGGGCTATAGGTGACATAATTTGAGGCTTTATCATAGCTAATTGACAATACATACATGTATCAAGATGTAAGATGCACCACAAGGTCACACTAACCACAATGTTCTTCAACATGCTGAAAGCTAGTTCATTTCCTCATCAGTGAAGTGCTTACAAATAAAGTCAGAGAGAACAACATTTTTTTCTTTACTGAGGAATGTCAGACGTTCATTCAGGTTGCTACAATATAAGACTTTGCTAGTCATTTTGCCCTTTCACATTTTGATGTAGAGATAATTAGCAGCAACAGCCAAAAAGGATGAGCTGCTCAAGCACACTGATCTGTGCGTCATCAGAGATGTCTCATAAGAAAAAACGAATGGTGAAATTGACCCAGGAAAACGTGGGAATGACATAAACACCAAATTAACCGTGTTCTAGTTGGTACAAGTTGGGAAACTCTTTTGCTTTTTGTGCAGGCTAACCACAATTAGCAATACAAGCCAACAACAATGTACTTCTCTTTGTTTTGCACTGGGAAACGATGTAGCAACATGTTCTCTACAAGAATGTTTGATAGTATTGTTTGGGAAATATTTATTTGGATGGAAATCATCCAGTGCAAAGAAACGGCGATCAGTAACTATCACTAACTGTTATCAGCAAGGCAATTATATTACATTTTGAGTTTTGGATTGGTAAAAAAAAAAAAAAAGTCAGTGAAAATTGTCTCCTCCAAGGTCATTTCTGTTATGTTTTTCAGCTTCAAACTTAAGGATTTTTTTTTTTTTTTCCTTTTAATTTTTAGAACCCCCTCCAACCCCCGGAAACAAAAATTGTGTAGTGCTGTCATTGTAGTAGTATTTTGATCTAAGGAATAAACATAGAAATTTACAGTCAATGATGAACATTATTTTATTCAGGCTAAAATGTTAACTCTAAAATATTTTCAAATGAATAAGTCCTTACCTTACAATAAATAATCTCTTTCTCCATGGTGTTGCATCACCTACGATATCCTACTATAAATATTTGACTTCTCATGGCAGGAAGGAAAAAAAACATTTTGACAAAGTTTATTACAGTTTTTTAGAGAAATCTGACCAAGATCTGCATCAGCAGGTCTAAAAAAAAAAAAAAAAAAAAGATTGAAAGTTGGACATATCTGAAATACTAAATATGGACATGCCCAGTTGTCTTTAAATTTGGACCCAACTGAAAAACATTTACCAAATGTTATACTTCTAATCATTAGCATTTTTAATAAATTTTCAAAAGCTGAAAATATTTCTTATAATTATTTCTTATATTTCTTATAATTAATCAACAGCTAAACGTCTAGACAGGGTAAATGTGTTGCCCGGGGCTTATTTGACAGCAACTAGTCATGGGAAACTCAGAAAACAGGAAAACCTCAACAAACTTCCCTTTAATGACCACACATAGAAAACACCCCATTCTGATGATATCTAATGACATGACTGACAAAGAAACGGTCCAAGAGAACTCAGTTCAATCATGAAAAATAAGGTTTTGGGGCACCACAGCAGGCAGTGATTGGGATATGCTGCTGCTGCTACTCTAACACCCCTCTATGGACACCAATAAATGGATGCGGGTGCTGGGTGCAGAAGGGGCTGTCAGTCAGACAGGGGTCCCTGGGGTGAACAGAAGGCAGGCGGTGGTGTCAGTCAGCCATGACCAGAGCACAATGACCAGGGCCTGACCCTTCAGGCCTCCCATCATACACATGCCAGCAACCATGACACTCTGAGGAAGGAGGGGGGTGGGCCGTGAGAGGAAGTTAACAGATATGCGGATCCTCTTAAATAAAACTTTTACAAGCAAAGCATTCTTTATTACTTATTAAAAGAGTTTAATATGTAGGGTGCATGCCACGATTCTACAAACGACACATTTTAACTTTATAAAGCTGTCCCTTTAGTCGGTGAACTTGCTTTCCTAAAACACACAGTGCTCTGCATGCGTCTATCAGTCCACCCTGTGCAC